AGAGAAGATCTACCCCTTCATCTAATACATGAATGATGTGTACCTTATTTTTTAAAAAAAATGGATTGCAATCTTCAGTGTTTGTTTTGATGTGCATTGTATGAGGACTATTCTGAGTATAAAGCTTTCCTCGATTCATGGATCTCTGACCATGCCTAATATTTCTGTTTAACTTGAATTCTATACTGTTTCAACCATGAAACCCAGCTGAGATTCTGCCCTGAGTCTATGGAAGTCAACTTTTTAGATTCCTAAATTATTTCACATCTAATCCTGCTGCCCACAGAAGAGAGAGTTCTTCCCTGTGTCATGGTCTCCATCTCATTTGGGTCAAATGTAAGTTTTGATTATACCTATACTTAAATATATATGTTGAAAATACTGTTTCATCAATTCAAATATGTCTACACACCACACTTGTAGAGACATTTTCTGAGTGATGTACAGATGCACCTCAGACATATGGAGTCCAGTCCTTCATGTCCCTCTGCTCTTGTTCAAGGTGACTTTCTACTTTCTCACTGCTCCCCTATGTTCATAAGGACGCCCTGCAGGGAGGTTTATGTCTAGTTTCATACTTATTCTTCTCAATGTGCATTTGACACTGCAATACTTGATTTATCATAGACTTTCAGACTGTCCATTATGAGGTACAGAGAGTTTTTGTAATTGTGTCCAGAGATAGTCAATCTGTCCTTGTCAGAATTTGTATATTTTATTGAGACACCAGTGTTACATATATGAGATCCAATCTGGTCTCTTCCCTGGAGAATGGTATACCCAGTGCATATAGTCATCACTGAAGGTGAATCTAGAGACACATATGGGAGCTACAGGGTTGCCCAATATGGCAACAATCTTCCTCCAGACTTTGCTAGCTGCAACTCCTACAGGACACCTGTAAACACATTTGTTCTGTTCAGGAAACTGTTACACATGTCCACTTTATCTCCCACTCATATCTACTTACAAACTCATCATCTCTTTTTTGTCATAAACTTCCATGTAAAAGAGCACAACAAGGAAAACCCAAGTCATCCTCAATTCCATGGTGAATAGTCTGTGTTCAGTATTTATCATTGAATGAACAGACATGGAAATCCCAGACTGGGCTCCTCTCCCAGTCCTGCATGGTAAAGGTTGAGCTGGTTTTTCTGAGAAAGATGAGGTACTGTTTGTATTTTCCTTCTCTATATGTTTTATTGATCTTAGCTCAAATGGGCGGCTATGCCCATGGAAGATCTTCAATTCATGGTGGTTACTGTAGGGACAACAAAATTCAAGAAAACTTACATTGTATCCACTTATGATTGAGTACATACCATGGTCATCTTTCTGGGTCTAGGTTACCTCACTCAGAATTGTTTTTGCTAGTTCTGTCACTTTGCATGAAAATTTCAATATGTCACTCTTTTACCATTGAGTAGTACTTCATATTGCAAATTAGCCACATTTTCTTCATCCATTCTTTGATACAGGGATATCTATGTTGTTTCCATGTTATAGCTCTGACAAATAATGCTGATAAAAACATACTTGAATATGTGCCCTTGTAGTATTATTGAAGAACTTTTGGTTATGTGGATATGAGTGGTATTGCTGTGTACAGAGATAGCATGAAGTGTGTACTAGCTGTAAAGGAAAGGATAATGAGCCTATAGTTCATGATCTTAGAGAAGCTAAGTAACAAGGTGAATCCTAAGAGAAACATATATAGATCCCTCTTGAATGGGGAAATAGACAAGACTGCCTGACAAAATTGTGAGCATGGTGGATGGGAGGAGAAGACCAGGTGAAAAGGGAAAAAGAAGGGAGAAAGGGAGGAGGAATAGAATTTGAGGAATGGGTTGAGATGTAGGAAAAGCAGAGCTGAGAGCAAGGATAGAGATATTTTGATTGAGGGACTTTTTATGGGACTAGCAAGAAACCTGGAATTAGAGAAATTCTCCAGAAAGACCAAAAGTGACCCCAGCTAAGACCTTAAGTAATAGAGGAGAGGGTACCCAATCTGGTCTTGCCTTGTAGTCAGATTAATGAATATGTTAAATGTCACCATAGAACCTTCATGCAGCAGCTGATGGAAACAGAGAAAAAACAGCAGTGGATCACCGGACTGAGTTCCCAAAATTCCTGTTGAAGATTGGAAGGATGGATAATATGAGCAAAGAGTTCAAGACCATAATGGGGACACAAACTAAAATAGTTTACCTGAGCTAAATAGAGCTTACCAATTCCAGCCAAACACAGAAGGAACCAGCAATTCCAGATTTCCATAAAAATTCAGAATTTCAAGGGGACGTATAGGGGTTTGGACATGAGGCATTCATTTCCAGATAGACAGTTAATGCTTTAAAAATCCATAATTGGCAATACATTTTTACTTTTAAAAGTTATTAATATTAAAAACAATATTAAATATTATTATTTAAAAATTATTATACAATACACATTTTTGATTTGACTGATTACATTTCATTTATCGATGCCTAGTGATAAAATTCAGGGCTCAGGAGTTAGTTCAGTGGTATTGTGCCTGCCTCCCAGTATTAGTATCTTAGCTTGATTCAAAACTCTTTGCTTAGAAGATGGGTGTTATGATTTGTCCTATATTCCCATCACTGGAGACCCTGTGACTGGAGGTACTGTAAGTGTTGTCATCCAAAGATTCTATCTGCATATTTGTGCTCCAGATTTGCTGTGATATCCTTCTTCAAAAATAAGATAAAAATCAACTGGTGACATATGCAAACTCAACACTAGCCTCCAAACATCTGTGAAAACCATGTACTGTATACATACACAGTCTAGTCAATTAGCATTTACAGTCATCCAAACATTGTCTTTATCCCACATGGGATTCACAATTTGTATTTATTTAGACCTGTGTCATAGATGTTGCACACCTTGAATGAACTGCTTGATATGGAACCCAAGAGATGAGCTCTTGTAGACTTGTTCCCTCTCTACAACTTTCCAACTGTATTTCCTACTCTGGAGACTTCCATTCCATTCCCAGCCATGATAGTGGCTCATTTAAGACCATGAAAGCAAGAAATGATATTTTTCTAAAAGTTTAATTCCTTTTTTATGTGAGTTTGGTCCATAAACTTCAGACATTTTATGTGGTAAGAAAGCACTCTACCACAGAGATACAAGCTTAGCTCAATCTTTAAAAACATCATATTTTCCTAAAGAAAATATTTTTGATGACTGCATTTATGCACTACTAAAATAAACAGCAGTATCCACAAATTATTCTTTCTTGACACCCAGCAGTTATAAAAGATTCTGTTAAAAATCAATTTATGGCCAGGCAGTGGTGGCACATGTCTTTAATCACAGCACTTGGGAGGCAGAGGCAGGCAGATCTCTGTGAGTTTGATGCCAGTGTGGTGTACAACAGCTATTTCCAGGACAGGCTCCAAAGCTAAAGAGAAACCCTGTCTCAGATACACAAAAACAAAAACAACAACAACAACAAAAACCCAAAAGGATAAACTTACTGAGCATAAATTTATTAAACAAACAAAGAAAATAGAAGGAAGAGAACAAGAAGAAGTATGGAAACTGCACCTTCAGCTGGTGACTCCTATTCTCATTCTGGACTCCATTATCTTTTAAAGACCACTGTGTAGTTGAACCACAGATTGTGCTGGAATCTCTACTCATGTTCAACACCACACACCTGAATGAAAAGAAAAATAAAAGCAGACTGCACATATGAGCAACAGTGTTTGTCACACATTGAAAAGACGTAGACAGGTCCTCTTGAGCTGTTTTCTGCTTCTGATGCTTTGGGAATCACTGGGACCTTAAGGAAGATTGGGAACTGTAATGTCTTCAGAGGATTGCTCAGGGTAATGAAGGCCCAGAGCCTGAAGGCAAACCTTGAATCCCAGTGTTGCTGCTCACCAGATCTCAGAGCAGGTTTCTGTGGTGATCATGTTATGGTAACCTCTGTAATGTAAATTATTTATAGATGATGCTAAAGTATGCATCACCAAAACAAGCACATAGATAATCAGACATATACACACAGACAGATATACAACAATGGAGACAATCTTTCCCCCTCCCCAAAATACATACAAATGGAGATGAATACATGAATATTAACTTCATATGATATTTGAAAATATTCTTTTCCCACCTTTTTCATTCATTCTACTTACAAACAAATAGCAATGCTCATTAATAATGTACTGTGATTACATTGATTCATCCCACTATCTGCTCTCTTCTTTCATTCCTTTGAACCTTCTGTCCTCTCCTGCTGACATGTCTCTTCTTTTCTCTTCTTCCTCCTTTTCTGTCTTCCTATACCAACTCTGCTTCTTTTTCTGTTTATCAAGAAGCAAGATTACAGAGTCATATCATCTTGTGTAATTCTTTGAGTAAGCTCCCAGTTTTATAATGTCTTAGTAGGACCACATTGCCATTTCCAAAACACAGACATCCCTTTTCCTCAATTCCCATATTATGGTCTCATTCTTTCTTTGGTAAATGGCACTCATATCGTCAGTTACAGGCAACTCATTCTTTTGAGTTTAATATCCATTTCTGTGGTTATTAAAAATGTCAGCTTTCTGCAACCTCTTCTGTCCACTTTCACTGGTCAAGGTGAATCATCCCAGAGGATGGAGGGCAGAACACTGTGTGCTCGTGAGGACATCACCTCTCAATTCTGGGTTCCCAAAGCTATCTGATAACCTTCTGACTCAGAAGAAAGATTGAGAGAGAAAGAGGGAGAGTGATAGAGACTGTGACACAGACAGAGAAAGGGAAACAGAGAGGGATAAAGGGAAACAATGTGAAACAGTGTAATAAGTAAACACACACAACACAACTGGAACAAGAAATTTAAATAATAATTTGGACATTCAAGGATTACTGCACACTATAGCTCTAGAGAAAATTCCCAAGTGTGATATGGAGAGGCAGTGCAGACACAGAGAAGTCCAGTCTTCCATGCTTCTCTAAGCAAGCTCTTCAGTGCTCCAGATCTCTAAGTGCTCTCAGCGCCCCCTGCTGGTCCTGCGTTCCCCACAGCGGTGTTTTTGTCTGAGTTCACAGTAACATTCACTCACTGTGCTTCTTGCACAGTAATACATGGCTGTGTCTTCAGACTTCAGACTGTTCATGTCCAGGTACAGAGTGTTCTTGGCATTGTCTCTGGAGATTGTGAACCGGCCCTTCACAGCGTCAGTATACCAGGTGCTACTACCATCTGTATTAATCTGTGCGACCCACTCCAGCCCCTTCCCTGGAGCCTGGCGAACCCAGTTCATGTAATAATTACTGAAGGTGAATCCAGAGGCTGCACAGGAGAGTTTCAGGGACTTTCCAGGCTGCACTAAGCCTCCCCCAGACTCCAGCAATTGTACCTCACACTGGAAACCTGTAAACACAAGGAATTCTGTTTAGAAAACTGACACAGAAGATATTTTTTTCTTCCTCCTCTCCACACAACACACAGCATCTTATCTTTATAAATTACCTTTGAAAATGAGGACAAAAGAAACAATTATAAGCCATAAGTCCATGGTGAGTGTCCTGTGTTCAGTGCTGAACCCTGGACTGAGAGGACTTAAAAATCCAGGGCTTATTTCCTGTGCCAGAGCTGCAAGGTCAGGGCAGGGCATGATTTTATGGGCACATAGAAACCTTATTTGCATATCTTCCTGCCACAACAGACTCTGTAGCTGATTCTGGGCAGAAGGCAGTACTCAGAGCAGATATAAGACATGATACACACTGATGACAGTTATAGAAATTGAAGCATTGATGTAGCTCTGTGTTCACATTTTCATTGTTAGGGATTCACCACACTTTTTAGTTCTCTTTTCACCATATGCATGGAAAATGTTCTTGTTGCTGTCTGTCTTCCTCTCAGTGAATGCTCTGGGTACATATTTATATTTGCAGCACTTAATTGTTTGCATCCTGAAACTCTTCCTATGATCACTTTTTACTTCCCACTCTGCCTTTCCCTTTCCCATCTCAATACCAGACAACACATGGCTGTCTTCATGCTGTCTTAGATCAGTATTTATTTCTGCATATTCATATAGTTAATGTAATGGGGGCACGTAATAATTTTTGTTACAAAACACAAAACTTTTGCATAAATTGTGTATTTTCTGAAGACATTGTTTATATTTTCCCAAATTTCATGTTTCCTACCCAAGCAGTCCCTTTCTCTCTTTACACCCAACTTTTCCTTTCAAAACCTCTGTATTACCCTGTGCTTTTTCCCTCTTACCCTTCACTTAAGATGTCTTTTCCTGTCTTGACTTCCATTCTAGTTCTAAGCCTACAAAGCCAGATCACCAAACACAGAGTCTCAGACACACAATCTGGATTCTCTCCATAAGGCAGAAACTATTCTTCCCAATCTTCAATATGTTGTGTGATATAAGATTTCCGATATCATTCAAGTTCTTCCAAGACTCAGACACTACTGATGAAGAGGATGTGGGAAGCATGTAAGGAGTAGAACACAGGGAGTGGTTGATGTAGGAGGGTCATCTGTCTATGTGTTACTTTCATTATTAAGAGGCTGCCTTGGCCTTTGATAGGACAGCAGCTTAGATAGGTGGAGTAGACAGAACAGAATTCTGGGAAGAAGGTAATGAGGCGAACGCCATGAGCTCTGGCCCAAGATGGATGTAGGTTAGAATCTTCCCGGTAAGCCATCACCTCGTGGTGCTACAAACATTAATTGAAATGGGTTAATCAAGATGTGAGAATTAGCAAATAAGAGGTCAGGCAGTGTTTAAAGAATACAGTTTCCATGTAATTATTTCAGTGGTAAGCTAGCCGGGATCCTGAGCTCCGAGAATGCAGCCCGCTGCTCATTTTACAAGTGGTGTTGTGGAATGATGTCTTCTGATCATGTCATGGATATTATGGATTCATAATGCCTAATGTATTCTATAAAAACGCAAATATACTCAAACCAGTCAAAACAATGGTATAGGTAGGGCTGATAATTATTTGGCACTATTTCTTGCTGAGAGGAGTTGGAAATTTATTTTTCTGGACAAGGGATATCGTCACTCTTTTTTGAGGGTAGAGTCCCTGGTATATTTCCTATGTTGTAGTGCTTGGGTTCACACACATGCAGATATGGACAACACTAACTGGTCTTAAATAAGAATAAGTTTGGTAGGGCCTCGTGTTTGAAAGATGAGGGAGGAGCTGGATGGAAAAATATCACATGTAGAAATCCTAAAGAATAAAGAAATAGTAAAAGCTGTATAACTGAGGCTCAAAACAATAAATTCAGAAGCCACTTAAGGAACACTGGTAAATATCAAATAACTTGGTAGGCAACTTTATCTGGAACCATCTTCCCATCCAAGAAAGAACTGGTGGGGTCCTTCTCTTATTTCTAAAAAATCCATTTACAGATAATCTTATAAATGACTTGGAAAATATCTTTCAATATTTGTTTAGCTGTTACTGTTTTCTATGGTTAAAGCATCGCATCATTAATCAGAGTTAGGGGAAAAACATATCATTCTTGCCCTCCCCTTTCTAAGCTCATGCTGTAGGAACAGTTATTCTGGTGTTTGACTATATATATGTGTCTTTTAGGTATCACCGTTTCTTTAAAATTATCTAGAATGAATCAGAGGACATACTGAAGAGAAGAGCATTTCAAGGACATCTCTATAAACATTTGCTGCTTCTTTTCTACGAAAGAGGGAAAACTTTGCCTGTGCCTATTTGTTCAATAATTAATTTACCTTAATGTGAATATGTGAAGCCTTTTCATTTATATTGGTAAGCACTCCAAAAAAGTTCTGAGTATTCTGGGTCAAAAGTAAAATCCTTAAAATGAGAATAGAGATACTGGTTATGATATATTTTAGGTCTAACACACTCATTAAAATTTCACCCTGCCCATCCATTTCAGTAACAACCATGTAAGCTGATCCTCACACTGATCCTGGAAAACATGACAGTGGAACCTGTGTGTTCAATATTGTGGGCAGTTCGTTAATTCACTGTTATATGTTCTTCTGTCAATATTCTAAGAATATAATCATTGTGGTCTCCAAAGTTTCATCAGACACTATTAGTGTCACAGCCTGATATTTCAGAGAATCCTTAGCCTCGCATAAATAGATTCCCTTTTTCTTTGTAAGCCTGCCCCAAGCATATGACGTATTAACATGGAGTCTCTAGCCAACATGTCTTCTCTGAATGACACTTTTCTAGCTCACACATGACACACCAGACTCTTCCAATTAGCAACAAAAAAGAATGCAGAGGAATATTTCCGAGAGTCTTGGTAGGCAACAAAAGCACAATCTGTGAAAATCATAGAATTCAGTTGTCAATGGGAAGGGCTGAAGAAAAATGAAACAGGGATCAGAGCTAATTTTTGCTGGGATATACATATTTGTAGATGAAAATTTTGTGGTCTGATTGCACAATATGCCTATAGAGGAATCATTTGCTTGAACTATGATATGTAAGCAAATTTTTACCAAAATGCAAATGTTCAAAAATACAATCATGCAACAATTATACGAACTGTACCTTTTTATAAGGTCCTATTAGTTTAGAGATTGGTAACTGTGGATGGTTCATTTTTAAAGTTAACTTTGAAAAGTAACATTAATTCAAGGAAGTTCTGGTTTATCACAAGTTTAAAAATAAAGAGGGTGAATTAAAGATCATTCAAAATCCTTACAAAGCTGTCTAATAAAGTTTCATATTTTCAGACTCCTATCTGTCCATCTATCTATCTGTCTGTCTGTCTATCTGTCTATCTATCTATCTATCTATCTATCTATCTATCTATCTATCTCTATATTGATAGAGATATAAATATATATATATATTTAAATATAGACAGAAATATTGTGCTGATTTTTCTGACAAGAAGAAATTAGACATTTTAGAGGATTGTTTGGGAACACAGATGATTAGTGTGTAATTAAAAAGCAAGATTAATAGTTTATGACAAGTAAAGTGTACTCTAGAGGTTTACCCTGTTTAAAAGGTAAAAAACAAAGGTTTGACATCAAACAGTTGCAAATGCTGCATATTCCTGATGACCACTGTTTCTGGGAGTACCTATTCATCCTCCACATCTCATGTTTGTCTGAGTAGAGAGGTTTCTGTCCAAGCTCACACTGAAGTTTTTCACTGTTTCTCTGGCACAGTAATACTTGTCCAAAGCTTGAAGATTGTTCAGTTTTATGAAAACATAAATCTTGGATGTGTAATGACATTTTGTTTGTGATCTAACAAATAAACCATCATGAAGATCAGAGTGCAGAGCTAAGCCATTTGTTAGCCACAGAGGCTAGACAATAATGGCATAACCCTTTAATCTGAGCACTAGAAAGAGAGAGGTGGATGGATCTCTGTGAGTGCAAACCTATCCTGGGTTACAAGAGATTAATCTGTGCAAATTAGAAATACAGCTCACATAAAGTTGATACCAACACCTAAGATCATATGCCTTTAATTTCAGCACCAGAGAAACAGACACAGGAGTGACATGGTTGGGCAGAAAGAAGAATATTACAGAGAAGGAGACAAGATCTCAGAGTCTGGGGATTCACTCTGAGAGGCAGTCTGAGGTTTTGGAGTGACAGCATTTAGTCAGAGGTTTTGTAGAGACAGTATCATCCCCATTTGGTCTGAACGTTGGTGGAGATAAGAACTCTTAACTTATTGAATACTGTTCTTTTCTTATCCTTCAGCTTTTGCCCCTGGTAGCTTACTCAGGATTTTTATCATTAAGAACAATTAGAATTCATAAAACAGGAGGTGTCTCTACTAATGTTAATTTGAGATTTGAGAACAGAATTATAATTTGTGTTTCCACCACTCTGTATTCTTCACATCCACTTCAGACAATTTCTAGGAGGACGACAGACCCAGCTTACACCATGACTGGTTAATGACAATCCACTGAGAGTTCAGGTAAGGGATGGGTTCTGTGAGGGCTGTACTAGACCAGTTCCTTACTCCTTCAGCTGCTCCAGAGACAGGGAACCTGGGAACAGGTAATAATCATGGTACAGTCATCCCAGAGATGATAGCCTGGGTCTCGTTCCTGAAACCCTGAAACACAGCTTGGAAAGTGAAGAGGAGCAGCACCAGTGAGAAAGAGATGGGGCCACTCATCTACCCCTGAATTTTAGCCTGAACAGGAGAGCTTATATTTCATTGAGGGAGATTCCTGAGAGGATAAATAAAAAGCACAGAGCAAGGTTTGCAAATTTTTCTTAGGTTTCTGAGAATTGCCCTTGTGCTTCTTAGAGGACCTGGTGAATTTCTGACACTGAACTCCCACTTGCAAATAAATAGGAAATTGTGTGATTCACACTGTGCAGACCTTGGATGAAAACATTAAGTGACTCCACATTCATGCTGCAGACAACAGAGGATACCACATCCTCAGTTCATATCCCTGTAAATCCCAGCTGAGTATTTAAATGGAATTTAGTCATAAGATGCACATTCAGGCTCTTCCTTATGTGAAATCAAGATTAAGGAACTACATAAAGTCCTTTCTTTTGTCATTGAAGTTAATTTTTTTAATCACCCATTTTGAAATTCCAACTTATGAGAATGCAACTCATAAACACTTACAGCGTGCATTTTCATGTTTTT